CCTTTTCCTATGACATATTTTGCATAAGTTGTTCCCCTACCCGCCATCTTGTAGGGCAAAGTAGTGAATTTCCTTCTTTGAGCACCAATTTTAAATATTCATGCAAGGAATATATGTGGGAAAATATTTACATTTTTCTTCTCATATTTCTAATAATTAAAAATTGATGAAATTTTCACAGAATCAAGAAGACAATATCAGTAAGTGATAGTATCAGTGAAATTAAATTTGACCGTTTTATATTGGAGGCAAGGTCAGGTCAAGGTCATTATCGGTTTCCTTGACATTAAGAATAAAAAATAACTGTTGCCAATCATGTGATACCTACTTCTATTTCAAAAGTTAAGTGATTGTTCTTTTTACATGAAAACATATTACTATATCGGGTCTATAGCATGATATTACCAAATTTACATAAATAGTTTAACTTAACTGGACATTGGCTAATCCGAATTTTCTCTGTTTTTCATAATTTTTTAGGATATATTAGTTATTTTCATATGCTTCCTATATTTAACTTTTTCTTATTTTCACATATAATAAAGTAGTCTTATAAATGTACAAAATGATACAAAAACGAAAAGTTTTGATCGTTTGCTAAGAGAGAAAAAATACTTTTTATGGATTTTTGGCTCAAATCTTCACTTTGATAGGAAACGTTTAAAAGCTAATAAAGTTGTAGTTTGTTTGAAAAATCATATTTGTTTGAAATATTTTGAAAGTTTAGTCCCTCATTATTAATTTAACTTACATTGAAAATTTCTCCAACTCTTCGACTGTGTAAAAATTATAACTAAATTCATTGTTCTATTATAATTTTGAGAGGCAGAAAAGAAGATATTTTTATACGCCACCATTCCACCAAAAATATAGTCGCTGCTAGTTTTCATACGCAGTTTACCATTTCTATTTAAAGTTGTACAATTGTGATGAGGAAAGAAAAATATGGTCTTTTAAATTCCTTACACCTCAATATATAAGACATATAAGCAAATATACTTTGAATGTTTCATCTAGTCAGAAACCAGAGAAGAATCCTACCTTAATAGAAGCCTTGAAAAACAAACGTATATTCATAAGAAAAATAATGTTATCTTACCTCATTAACCAGTATAACAAATTGAACTTGGTTGAAAAATGAAGGGATCTGGATATGTTGCCCTACAATATGGCAGCTAAGGGGAATAAGTCCTAGACAAAATATGTCATAGGAAAAAGGTCTATAAGGGGATTCCTGTCTGTTATATTTATTTTTGTCTGAACTTCTGCACTACTATCTGAAAAAGCAAAGACTTTTGTTCAATGTAATTCTCAGTTCTTACAGCTTTAAGAGTTTAATAGTTTAAGAAGTTCCTAATATTATTGTCTCCCGAGTGGCGCAGTGGTGAGAGCGTCTGCTCTAGAGTCTCGCGAAGTAGCAGTCAATCCTTTCGCCGCGCGTTCGAATCTCACTGTGGGACGCGCAGACCGGTCCTACGGCTGAGACCGTATTAACTGAGTGCCGAGTATAGTTTAAAATTTGTAGCTATCCACCGGCAAGTGGTGGTGTCTCCATATGAGTGAAAAATTCGAGAGGGACGCTAAACAATATACAATCAATCAATCCTGATATTAATCAGTATAGAGGCGTTAAATTGGATAATTAAAGAAACATTCTTTTTCAATTTACGAATTGCAAAGTCACTCATTGTTATCTTTAAGTTTTACTTTTAATTTCTATGAGACATCAATGTTTTAGGAGATTATTATACCCCCCCGCTTGAAAAGCGGGAGGGTATATAGTTATCGGGATTCCGTCCGTCCGTCCGTCTGTTACGCTTTTTTCTCTTATCCGCAACTCCTCTTATACTACTGAGTGAAATTTAATGAAACTTTCACAGAATCTTTATTACATATTGCCATTGTGCACCTCCTATTTTACTTTTTTATTCGACACGTATTGTAGGTTTCCCAGAGCAAAACATGGACATTGCCATTTTTTGTTTACCTATGACGTCACATAATAGAAGCTTCTGGATAACACTTCATAGGACGAGTTATTCCTCTTTACACATTACCGTAAAACAATATAAAGCAACACATCGACATTATGGGAGGCGGGGGGTATCATTTAGTGAGCTCATTGCTCACAGTACCTCTAGTTTGTATTGGAGTGACTGGAGAGATTCTTCCATTGGGAGAATAAACAAAAACCTTAAAGATAACGCTGAGCTTTTACATACCACTGAATTCACCCTGACGCCAATGGACCTTAAGGCATTTGTCATAAGAGATAAGAAACGTAAGTCATACAACGATAATGTCACTTGTATTCAATTCAACTGATGCATTTAAAAGATGTGTGCCAAAATATATTCGTTATAGCTACACTTATTTTTATTAAAACATATATGAAGTGAAAACCTTGTTACTGCTAAAATGCCTCAATCTTCATACTTTTTCGGTAGGGATCATTGTGTCTCATTACAAGGAATGATCCTTTGTAAGATTATGATATACCTGTGCTGTGCCATGAAAATCAGATAAATTGAAGAATACTGAGAAAGATATAGACAAATTGATGCTATTTCATATTTTACTATATATGCATGTATATAAAAATCTACATGTACGAGTTCTGAATATTATCTTTTACATTAGTTGCCTGTTGAATTCTAACAAGGGTCCAGTTTCTAATATTTACTAAACCATTTCATATTTATTGTTATTTTTAGGAAATCATCTGATATTTAAAACACCAGATCATATCGATGAGGAGTCGGAATCCTTTTTTCATAATTTCACTGAAGGAGGATGGTGGGTTGGGAATCGAACCACTTCATATCTGAACGGTGTCTACGGGTCTCCACGATGGAGGAACATCTGGCTTCCTCACATAACTTCAGGAGAAGATTTTCTTTCCTCCCAGATGATGGTTCGTCGTAACATACGTCAATAGATGTTGCGACTCTTTCTACTTTTTATGGCATCGAACGATAGCTCGAATGTCATCTAGCTGGCGTACGATTGAAATCATTTACGCGACCGAATGTGTCAGTTGATGCATCCGAACAAGAAAATAACAATAGCACAATACATCAGTTTCTTTGAAAATGTTCACAATGAATGAAATCTTGTTTGTTATTTTATTGCTAATTATGTATTCAGACAGTTTGAACAACAGTTGACTGATCCTTTCATTGGAACAAGGGGATTTGATTTTTTTGTCCTTGTTTAGAGATGACACTGTGTTATAATTTGAAGCGGTGTGTGTATATTATAAAGAATGATAAACATATTATATTTATTTTAGTTATTACATTGGACAAGAACTATAATATATCATCAGATCCTGATATTCATGTACTTTCTTTATATTTCCCCCCTATGAATATACAATGCTGACATTGCTTGTTTTATTCTTTCCTTTTTATTAACTAAGTTTCCGTACTATTTTTTCGCACTAAATTTGAAATTTTGGTAGTCTTTGCAATCAAAGAATAATAATTTTTGCTGACTTTTAATGGGTTTGAAATCATAACAAAAGTGTATATCACTCAATAAAATTTGTGAAGAACACTTTTAAAAAAAAAAATAGGTCACACGTTATTGGTACATATGTGCCTGTGTTGAATCTGTTTTCTTTGATCGTGAAATGTGATAATTCTTCAGAACATTTTGAATATATACTGAACTTATTTCCAAGTTGGAGGTACATACTGGACTCTTTCAATAATATATGTTTTTTTTTTTCATGGAGAAAGCTGTTCATTTGAATAACAATCATCTTGATAGCATTTATGAAGGAATACTGAGATTGAGATATCTGCATGTTTCAACTAGATCCATTGATAATTAGAAAAGTGAAAGTAAATGAAAGACAAATTAAGCAATTTATGAAATTTAGGGTAGATACTTCCAATTCAACCTTGGAATTAGCTAACGACACTGTGCTTGAAGTACTTTCCAATTTCTGAATTGAAAACGAAACACTGTCGTACACCTAGGTACAGTGACATCATGGCCGACATGAAGCACACTCACTGTCCGAAACCATGTCCGACCCACTAAGCAACATTTTTAACTATGAAGACGTAAACAATTCGGCAAAACAAAATTGAAGTTAACTATCCTCATGGATTTTGTGTTTAATGATGACTACATTGCCAGCTTAAAATACCTTAATTTGTATTTGTTTTGTATTAAGATGAGAGTTTGGTGTGTGTGTGTGTGTGTTAATTCTGTGCGAAACAGATGGGATGTAATTTTTATCGAAATCGATACCGAATGCTGCCTTTATTTATAGATATGCTCTTTGCCAAGGAATGCTTTGCATTGTGGTTTCGTTGTTTAAAGCAAAACTTAACACTGTTTATATTTTACATAAAAGAGAAATTTATATCATTAACTACATGTATGTTGTTGCATTTTAATCCTGTTTCTAGTCAATCTCCTTTAAAATGAGGTCAATGAAAAAACCCCATCACCAAACGTTCTCCATAATACTGCTGAAAAATTAAAGCAAATTGAAATGGAAAGAAAAAAATTATTCCTCTATAATCACTAATACCTTTTATGCAAGATTTCATATCTATCAAGTAGATATATCAATACTAAAACATTACAATCCACAAATCTGATCATCAATTTAATGTTTTCAGCAGCTACATGTATTGAAGAAAACCAGGGCATTCAGTTACGTGAGTGATTGCTTTTTCTATTATTAGAAGGAACAAATTATTTCCTTCATGACTGATAAGGACTATAAATTTTTCAAAGTTAGATACATTTTATTAACTTTCTTTACGTCATACATTTCGAAATGTCAATTTCAATGATTTCGAAATGTCGGCTATATAAGCAGTAAGAGCGGCTGATAATAATTTCAGAGGGAAAAAAAGCACCGATAGCTATCAGAACTGTTATTAACAAAGTTGAATGCGAATATAAAGACAGAACTGTGTATACATGCCTAATAGTATATGTTTCTGCTTGTGTGGCATGACATGTTAATTTCTTAAATATCAGATTAATTCTTTGTTTCAAAACGAACTCATATATCAGTTATCAGAATTAAAAAAATATATTCTCTTCACACAATCTTTAAAAGAATCAAGTTTCTATAAATAGTAGAAAGGTCCAGTTAAAATACAAAAATAAATCCCTTTGTTTCTGATATCATAGCAGAAATATACATTACGAAATGAATTTCTAATGCCAACTATAATATCACGTTTTACTAAAACATTGACTTGCAATTGTCTACAGAAAATCTTTCAAAATGTCGAAATCTCAAAGTGCAAACGAAAACATCAACTTAAAATAGAATAATATTAATCCATAAAGAGACTGAGGAAAATGATGAAATGTGTCAAATACAGTTGATATTGACATGCATAAACATTGCATTTCAATTAGGAGATAATATCTTAGATGAGAGTTTATTTTGTTTTTTTTTTCCTCATATGAAAGGATTTCCAATAAAAGTGTCGGTATCTTAAATCTTTGAGAAAGCCCTTTATAATGTCGAATGAATATTGTGATCTTCAGTGTAATTAATTAACGACCCCTATTATAGAGTGTTTTAACAGGTTTATTGTGTTGTTCTTTTTTTTGAAACATAAAAAAAATGTATATGATGAAAAAGAAGTTGTTCTTCATCTCATGACCTCATCGCAATGACCATAATGAAAGAAACGGTCTACGCTGGTTACCTTTAAATCATAAACTTTTAAAAAAAAAACAAACTTGTTTAATATCATATATAACCCCATTTTAGCATTTTGTGACACTAAGAAATGATTAAGACTCTTAATTGTACTGAAACTCTAATGCTAAAAAGATGGACCTAATTTGTTAATATGTGTTTCTTTTCAAAATTTGTATATCATATAATATAAAAATATACCCTTAAAATCACAAATTCTAAGAAATCTTTGAGTTGTTTAATTTTATTTAAGGAGGCTGGCGGGTCAACAAATAAATCAAAAATTAACCACCAGTTTTAACTTATTTTTTTAGATACGGTAACTTAAGCTGTCAACTATCATTTGGCAAAGAAAAAATTCATACATTTTAGTTTTAAAATTTGATCATTTTTGTATATCTTTATATGGAGCTCTCCTTTTAAAGGAGATTGAAATAGTCTAAAAATGGCTGCCACCCCCAGCTTCTTTAAGTAGGTGGCTGATTTCAAATGGAAATCCAAGATTTTATCTTTATGTGGCGCACTGGAAAACCACATTTTTTTAATAGTTTAATTTTTATAAAAATATTTTGTGCAAAATATATTCCATATTATACATTGTAGGTCATTTTATTTCTTTACCTAAAGTGATATTCACCATCATTTTTGACCCCTTTTAAACCTTGAAAATGTTTTCTGTAAAAATTCTTATTTACCGAAATTATCAAAGATTTAAACCAGTTTTTCGTATTCATTGAAAGTATCACAATATTTAAATGTATCAAATTGGGTATCATATTAATAGAAGTAGAAATTTACTTGGGGGAGGTATCAATTTAGGGAATATACAATGTATACACAATATACTTTGAATTTACTTAGTGGAGGTTTCATAAACTTGGAATTTGGAATTTATTTGGGGCGTGTCATTTTGCTAATTTTGAATTGGGGGGGGGGGGGGGGGGGTTCGTCGGACGTGACGTTAAATGTTGCTAAATGATAACAACCCTCTTGGCACGTAAAAGATCGTTTCTCTGGAGTTCGAAAAAGAGTAGGCTCACTGGGCACATTTCCAGCTTCTTCTCTGAAACCGCCGAACCAATTTCAACCAATTTTGCCATATAGCATCTATGGGTGAAGGGGAACAAAAATTATGAATTTCATGGCCCCTGCCCCCCCCCCTTGGGGCCTGGGGGTGGGACCAAAACCACTAAAATTAGTGCAATCTTTAAAAATCTTCTTCTTTACTCCTGAACATCAAGCAGTCAAACTGTTGGCATGATTGTTATTAGCATTGAGTCCTCTACCAAAATTGTGAAATTCATGGTCCCAGGGTCAAGGGTTCTAGTGCTAGGGCAGGGCTATATTGATTATATAGTGAAAATGCATTAATTCTTTGAAAATCTTCTCTGCTCTTAAGTAATAAATAAACTAACTTAGTACATAGTTATGATGAACAAGAGTGCCTCTTCTAAAATTGTGAATTTTAGGGTACCACATTCTGTCTGTATGAAACACTATCATTTTCGGGCGATATTTCAAGAAGATTTTGAGCTTTTGCAAAGTAATTTTATATCAAAACTCCCTAGGTTCTCTCTCAGCCCTCTCAAAGTGTCCCGCCCCGTTTGTTTTATTAGTATTTATTGTATTACATGTTGCTATTTTTAGCACAGGGGCAAGAGGAGAGTCATTACGTATAAAACAGATTCTCGGTGGACTTCATATTGTTATTACATCTATTAGAACTGTTTAATAAAGGTTAAATTAGATATCATGCATTGTGTAAAATTTTGACAATATCGAACGTGAATGTATACTTCTATGTTACTTTATATTTGTATATCATTCTCACACTGTTAAAGAGGCTCTGTGGTCTAATGGTACATTCTCGCTTCACATGAGAGAGGTATCGGGTTCGCGTCCCGGACGATCCATTTTTTTTTTTTTTTCGAAATCCTTTTTTTTTTTACTAAATGATAGTATTAAGCATGTGAAATGAAAAATTTATGAGGTCTGGCTTGTACAAACTCATAAAATCATCATTACAGTGTGATAAATATTCCATATAAAAAGAATCTTCTACATTGTTCTATACACATAATAAAGAATAAGCAATCGAACCTTTATATCCATATTGGCATATTTTATTTGCTTCAGTATACCGTACATGTATACATTTAATAATTCTACAAATTCAGTCAAGGGGATCCGACACCCCCCCCCCCCCCCGAACTGCGCATGGTTTACTTTTTCCCTAAGCGGGGGACACAAATTCTCTGAATTAGCT